AGAACTGGACACAATATTCCAGATGAGATATCACTAGTGCAGAATAGAGGGGGAGGAGAACCTCTCTTGACCGACTAACCACACCCTTTCTAATGCACCCCAGGATGCCATTGGCCTTCTTGGCCACTAGGGCACATTGCTGGCTCATGGTCATCCTGCTGTCTACCAGGACCTCCAGGTCCCTTTCCCCTACACTGCTCTCCAGCAGGTCAGCCCCCAACCTGTACTGGTGCATGCTGTTTCTCTTCCCCAAGTGCAAAACTTGACACTTGCCCTTATTAAACTTCATCAGGTTCCTAATTTGTATTATGAACGGTTAAATGCTTTTGTTCAGGAAAGCAGTAGTGATTTTTTTGAGTTACAAGTGCCCAAAATTAAGACAATAACAAGACTGGATTTTGTTTTGGCTTGTTTTGTAGTTGGCATGGCAGAAGCAGATAGCTCCTCTCAAGATGCATTGGGTCTCAGCAAGCTTGGAGGTCAGGCAGAAAAAAACAGGAAAATGCAGAAAAAGTAAGTAACCAAATACTTTTAATGCTCTTATATTAAGCTATTGCTTTGTTTAAAAAAGTTGTTGTTGTTTTTTGTTTTGGTTTTGTGCTGTTTTGTTGTTGTTGTTGCTGCTGCTGTTATTTTGGGTTTTCTTTTGTTTGTTGTTTTTTGTTTGTTTTGTTTTTGTTTTGTTTTCATTTTTTTTTGCTTTGTATGGTACTATAGCTAATAAGCCTCTGCAGATTTTTTTTTACTATTTTTTCTAGAATATCAATAGTAGTGTAGGTCGTGGTAAGTTTGAAATGAATTTCAGTGCTGAAAACTTGTTGAAATGCTGTAATAAACAAACTTGGAGGTCAAAGTGGACTCCTAGCAAACCCTCCCCCAGATTTGTTACATTTAATACCTGCTTTGGGTTTAATTTGGATTTAATTCATTTGGAAGATCCCCCAAGGAGTTTGCAAGATTTGACAAAGGGAAGGCAGGAGATGTTCTGTACAGACACTCCTCTGTACACCTTTGCTGATTCCCTTCAAGTAGGTGACTCTCAAAATCTTTCCTTTGTGTTGCAGCTTGAACTGTTCAGTGATTTTTTTCACTTCTGTTGAAGGTTGTCTTGACATTTTCTCTCATACATTTTAACAGCCAAAATATTTTGTCCTTGTACTATATAACCTCTGGCTTTTATAATTTGAGACTATTTCCTTTTTTTTTTTTTTAGGCACCTTTTAGATATGCATTGACCTCTTACTAGTCAGGAGAACTTTTTTTCACTGTGTCCAAGAAACTCTGTAGTTGACTGTTTGGCTTTTGACTATCCATTGTATGCTTTGTTGTTCCCAGACTTGGAAGAGCCGAAGCAAAGACTATAATCATAGGTGAAAAATAGATATTGCTAGTAGTAGAAATCTTAACTTGATGCTTATATGGTAATGCAGGAAACACTCAAATTTATGTGAGCAGCATCAGGCATTCTTTGCATTTTTCCACTCAAAGCTGAGCCATATATCTTGAACTTTTGTTGCTTCTGTTCAGCTGCCTTTGGTCTGTGTCAGAAAAGCTGACCAAGATCAGCCATGTCTTGCTTTTTTGCTTGCTTTCTGAGGACAAAATAGTGAAAATTGAGAGGAAAGATTGCTGATTTTCTCTTTGTGAGAGATTTCTTGCAGTACGTAAGCTCTATTAAAAATAAGAGTAATGCCTGGTGACTGCTAATGAAAACCAGCAGCATGTTGGTTTGAAAAAGTCAGAATGGAATGTGGTTTTGTTTGGATAACAGAACACTCAGCTGTTTTTCTTCAGACTGTTACACTGAAGGCAATCCTACATTATTGTGATCTGGTGTTTTCCCTTTTCTACAGAGCTTTAAAGTCATACCCCATCTTGGTTGAATAAATAATCTGGTCCATATCTAAACAGTGATAGGGCCTGTTCTTTGAACAATATAGAGTTTTCCCAACACCAGCAACAAATTTCATTCTAGAGCAAAACAGTTTCTACTGTCTTGCTTTAATAAATGCAAAAAAATGCTGTGGCAGCTAAATCCTGACTTCTCTTTGTAAACATTTTGCCTCTCAAGAATTTACTGGTATTACTTGAAGTATACCCCGTGGCTGCATGCTGTTGGTTGCTTAAAAGGCAAGTGTCTGTATTAGAAAAGTGAAAACTTTTAGTCTGAAATTGCCTTGCCTATTTATTAAATAGGAGTTTGTGCTTAGTGACAGGAAAGTATCTGATTCAGGTATTTCAGTGAAGGTGGGGGTGAAACAAGGCTGTTGATGAAGACTCCTATCATAAGGTTGAGTTTTACTGCTCAAAACAGCAGCAGGGCCCTTGGGACTTCCATGAGATGAACTTCTGGAGATGTTCATTGTTGAAAAAGAGCAGTGGCAAAGCTGCTCTGAATTGCTTTTCACTTTGGTATTGGAGAGCAGGGCTAAAACAGATTCTTAGGGCTGACTGTTCACTTAAAATCCTGTATTCAGAGAAAAGAATTCCAGGTACCTGAATGCCTGGAAGAATGACAGCTAGTTCTAATTATAGTTATCTCTAATCCTGTTTGCTTGCTTATCTTTCTCATTTCTGCATGCATGCACACAAACAGGCTGAGGGCAGTATTCAATGTCTTTATTAACAAAAACCTATTTACAGTTACAGAATTAAATTACAGTGTACCTTATTTGTCTGTTTTTGTATGCCTTTGAGTTCAGTTTAATCCTCGTTTTATATTTTTCCTTCACTGTTTTATTTTCCTTTTGTTTACCATTTGATGGGGTAGTGCCAGATCAGGGTAAGTTTGTATTTGTTTTCTTAGGGTGGTTGTGAAATTCTGCTAAATTTCCTCTGGATTTTTTAGCAATATATCAACAGCTCTAACTTTTTTCAGAAAATAAATCTGTGTTGTCTAGTTCAATGTGAATGGTAGTTCAGTGTCTTGTCTTAATTTGCATGGTGTGAATTTTTTTTAGTGGAAATATTAAACCCTACTTAGAATTAGTTCTGTAATTTGGGATTTGAGTGTCATTTAGCAATGGTAGATAATTTGTGGCAGTTCCTTTCCAGAGTAGATATGTTTCTGTAAAACTGTCACTCTGTTTAGTAAATTTAAGTTGCTTTCACTGTTTTGTTCATGCTGGTCATCTTCTTTGTGAGCTGTACTGTTGATGCTGTTTGCCACAATAGTATCTGTTCTTTCCTGTGTACAACGCAACAAGCTTAATACTGTATTCATGAAAAAGGAAGGCAGCCCTAATTTTAAGGTAACTCCTTAAAACAAGTTCTACAGAGTTTAGTATATACCTGAAAACAATATTTAATAAGGATATTAACCTTCCACTGATGCTCTGCCTGAAATTGTTCTGTGCTCACCTCATGTTCTACTACTGCTCCCTTTCAGTTTTTACACCTTTCAACTCTGGCATTTCCATCACTGTCACTCTCTTCACCACCTTCCCTACAGTGTTTTCTCTACTCTCAGCTTCTTCCAAATCAGTTATCTTCAGTTCCAGCCAAGAAATCTGGAGTACAGCATTCCCCTTGGGCTACAATTTCAGGATTTATGCATTCCCATGCTGTCTTATCCAGTGACAAAGTGATGGTGCTCTGGGCTGCTTCCTCTTCCTTGTGGGGTTAGTGTATGCTTGCCTGCCAAGAGCTGTTCTAAATACAGGCACTTCAGATGGTCCTTAAAGGGCCTTGTGTGTTCACTATTACATCACACCCCTGCACTTCTGGCATCATTTCTGATCCCATATGACCACAGTTCCTTTGTTCTCCATGGCTGGTGTTAGAAGCCTTTTGAATGTGTCTAACAACAAGTGTTCCCCTCTTGCAGCAGCACATTTCGTCTCCTGTTCAAAGTGATATTCAGCCAACTTTTTACTAAGTCTGTGGACATCTTTCCCCTGTTTTTGTCACCCAAGAGTCATTCCAGTAGCCAGCTACTCCTTTGACATTCTTTAATCCTTCACAACACCAGTTTTATACCATCTGTTAACACTGCCAACACTACTGCAGGGTCTTTTTTTCCCCTCAAGGGTATGAGTCTGGGTTTTGCACCCACTTCTTGAATGATGTAATTGAGTGGCCTTTGAAACTAAACTGGTGTGTCAGTTGTGATCTGTACATAAGCTGATCATGTATTGCTGGAATGCAGCGAATTTCTTGGTGAAGTTGGAAGGGAATTGTTGGAAAAGTGAAGTTCTTCACTGCAGGAAAAAAACATGGATTTGCAGATGAAACAGCAGCTGCCTTTGATTTCTTCCTATGAGATGTTTTGTGCCTGTGCTATGCCTTGAGCTTTCAGTTCAATGATTTCTCATGCAAGCAAGTTTGCTGTCTCTTCTTGCATATGAACAAATTCCACAATATATTTTCCACTTCATGGATGCATAGCTCTTTGGAGACATTGAATAAATTCTCCATAAAGTTATCTCATAAATTTTTTTTTTGTTTCTGTTCCTATTTCTACATGTTTGTCTCCATCACATAATACTTCATTCCAGTCACACAAGTATTTTCTGCATACAATACCACCATGAGTGTCAAGTTTGCGTCACAATCTCTCCTTAACGCTTTTGCTGCCTTCCCTGTACTGCTCATCTCCAAGTGATTTGCTGTGTCTTGGTTAACCTGAAGTATGCAGAGAGACCTATAAAACTACCAGAAATTACACTGCAATTATTTGAATTACATAAAACACCCCAAAAAGCTTTATAAGCTGGGGGGAGGCAGTGAGCACATGGTCTTGTGGGGCCACTCTACTCAAACCAGAGGCTGTTTTGGGCATGTCTGTGGTTTTTCATCACTGCTGGGCATGGTCATGTTAACCACAGCCACCAAAAAGGAAGGCAAAGCCACTAATTCTGAAGTTAAACTACTTGGAAAAAACATTGCATTCCTTTCTGACAAATACAGTATTAAGCGTTTTATTCTGTTGTTACCAAGCAGTATTTTTTAATATATTATTAATTGATTTTTATCTCTCTTTTTTTTTTTTAAATCTTTAAACAGCAAAATGAAGCAAAACTGAATGTTTTCAGGGCTAGTGATTTGTGGGCTTAACATCACATGTTCTGTGCTAGCAGGAAAAAAGCAAATCCTTTATTCCTCATTTGGAAATAAGTGTTTGCAAGCTTTAAAAGGATACATATATCAGCTTTTATGACCTTCTCTTTGTTAGTGAAATCTGGCTATTGTGCTGCTAAATGCTGAACATCATTTCCGCCTTAATTGTTGGGTCTTAAAATAGGTCCCTCAGAGTGATTATTTGTAACCTGTTATCTGGCAGTTCCTTCCTCCCCTTTTTTATTCCTGGGCAGCACATTTAACCAGGAAAAAGTACTGGGAGGTTCTTCTAGAGCAGTAGGAATTTAGTGACATGCAGGTGAAGTACTATCTGTTGATAAAACAGTTGCTAGTATATTTATTATTCATTGATTATTTTTTATATTTAGTTCCCTACCAATTTGACACAAGGTATGCCAGCATGTCTAAAAAAGCCAAGCACTCCATAGCTGTTTTGCACTAGTAGCAGAGAAAAGCTACCAGTCTGTCAGTAACCCCTTGTCAAGGTGTCTGGTGTGGTAGTTCTTGAATATCTGTAGCTTTTAAATATTTCATCAGCGTAGATCTGTTCAGCAGCACAGTTCTGAAGGCAGGGAGATGTAGTTTGGTTTTCAATTGTGGGAAAATGGTAACTACATAATGTAGGATCTTGAATCTGTAATATTGCTGCTTATCTTAATGCTACACTTGCAGACGGGAATAAAAAGCACGAAATAGTAAAAACTGTCTGATTAGGTGAAGCAGTTTTTCAGAGGAGACTGAGTGGATACTTAACCATATACAACTAGCTTTCAGAGGCAGCTTAAATAAGCCTTTTTTTCAGACTTCACCCATTTTTTCAGACAGACATATCCAAGGAACATTGCATGCTCATACCTGCAGCCATAGCTTCTGTCTCTTGCTTTATCAAATGTTTTTGGCAGCTGTTTACAGGGATCTTGTGAGCTTCCATTGCTTCTGTAAGCTGAATTGTCAATATTAAACCTTAGTCTCTTTTGTTTCAGCATAACAAAGGGAATGGTGTCATCATAGGAGATGAAAGCTGAGTTTCAGTACACAGCCTTTCAGAATGTAATTGCCAAAGTGTGGCTCTCTGAATGTAATGGTTGTCTGAAGCTGTGCCTGAAATTCTGACAGGCTCACTGTTGCAGCCTGGAATTCACCAATGAAGTGATTATTGTCCCAGTTTCCAGCCCTGACAGACTGATGGACAATAGCTTTTCGATGCCATGGATACCTGATGTACTTCAAGTATTTCCACAGGCTTCAGATCTACATGTTGAGGGAAAATGACTGCTTTGGTTCAGCCTAATTTGCCGAACAGAACATTGCTGCAACGGAGAACCTGGCTGACAAATAGCCTGATGTCTCCACTTGGTGTTGGCAGTGTTAGTTTGAGTGGCAGGGGCAGTTTGAGGCAAAAATTTCTGAAAGGCAAGATCCAGCATCTCTGCCACTCTGAAATTTCCTGTCCAGTTCAGTTTATGTCATTACGTAGTCCTTGTATGGTAAATTGAATGCAGTCCTTAAATAGTAACATGTAGGTATAGCTGGTTTCTCTGTTATTAATAACTATTTCTGTCTTTGTAGGCATGAGCTGCTAGAGGAAGCCAGGAGACAAGGTTTGCCTTTTGCACAGTGGGATGGACCTACTGTGGTTGTGTGGTTGGAGGTAAGTGGTCCCTCCAAAACAGTTAGATAAATAAATCATAAACTTAATGTATAGCCACCTAAAGAATTTAAGGTTTTGGAGCCAGGAATGTTTTCTACATCCTGCTTACTTCCTTTCTTTGTGTGTGTGTTTCAGCTGTGGGTTGGGATGCCAGCCTGGTATGTGGCTGCCTGCCGAGCAAATGTGAAAAGTGGTGCTATCATGTCAGCCTTGTCTGACACGGAGATCCAGCGGGAGATTGGGATTAGCAATCCCCTGCACAGGCTGAAGCTGAGGCTGGCCATTCAAGAAATCATGTCCCTCACCAGTCCATCTGCCCCTCCCACCTCAAGGACGGTAAGGAAAGTGATCCAGCATTAAACGTCAATTAGAACCATTAGAATTTCTGCAAATTCTACTGTAAGCACATAACTGAAAGGGTTTGAGCCTCAAGTAAGAATTTCTGGAAACATTACATTGTAGAGGGACACATTATTAAAAGACAGGATGTTTCTGCCTTTCATGGAAGGTCAATGAAGGAGTAACTATTTCTTTTCTTAAGGGGAAGATAAGTATGTATCAGTGGACATATGTAATCCAAAATATTTAGAGTAATGTTAATTGTCTCATGTATTGTCCACCAGAAGAATTGATAATACAGAGTAGACATGTGCATACAGAAATTTGGAAAATAGTTGGAGGTTCTTTTAATCCACATACAAGGCCATGAACTCCAAAATAACAATTCAGCCTAGATAAATGAGAAGTCCACCTGTCTCTCTATACTGCAGTAAATTTAGACACTTAAAGTTAGTGTGAATTGCCTCCCATGTGTCTGCCCTGCAATCCAGAGTGATTTCTGAGATTCCTGGCGTCACATACTAGACTGCAAAGGCATTTTTCGGATTAGAGCAGAGTCAAGTGTTTGCCCATTAATTACATCAGTGTAAGCTATTTATCACATTCAATTTTGTTAATATCTTTGAAGAAAAGTGATCCAGGATAATAGGCTTTTATTCCATGCTGTTACTTCCAGTAGACAGACCTATACTTGACTGTAGAAACCATTGCTTTTGCCCGTGCCTGCTCCTCACGTGTACCGATTGCTTATATGTTCTGCAACCTCTCCTCTTTGTTACTGCTTTCCTTTCACTGGATGGGATTGCTTCCCTGTGGGCTCATGTTAGACCACGGGAAATGTCTGGGTAACACATGAAGAAATGGAAAATCTTACAGCCACACAGCAAACGGTTAGTTTTTAGCGTTGCCACTTCTGTTCCTTAGAGTGCTTTTCTCACTTTTTGAACATTTGAATCAAGTGCCTTTTGGTCTTCTTTTCTTTCTTTTTTTTTTTTTCTTCCTCCAAATTAATTCATTAAAATTCTGAATTGTCGCTTCTTCTAATTATTAACCTTACAGCCTGCATCTTGATATTTTTTTTTTCCAGAAAAGGGGGGAAAAAATCAACACTAAGATTGTAAACAAAACTCTTTCTAATCTGGGAAATGAAGCTGTGATTTGATTAACTACCTGACAAATTGAATCATTTGTGTGGAAATTTCTTCCCTCCAGAAAACTTAATCAGTAGATGGGTTTTGCAACCTCTGAAAAGAAAATGAGTGCCTTGTATGGTGTGGTTTGGTTTTATTTTCTTTTTACAATGCATGATGCTTGCTTTATCTAGCTTTTTTTTGGTATGCAGTAGACTTAGAGTCTTGCAGTGCATCTTTAACTGTGATCTCCTTACTAAACTTAAATACTAATATGTATGTGTTCTTTTGCTTTTCTAACCACGTAACAGGAAGATGAGGAGGGAAGCTGGGCTCAGGTTGGAAACTTTATGTAATATTATAGACTATTTGTAAATTGTCACAATAATTAGAGCATGAAAGAATGTGGTTTTCCTGTGTAGCAGTTTCTTTTAGTGACTCTTGGTGTGGCTGGGGATTGGGTAAGGGGGAAGCTGCAGCTTTATCTCTCTATAGTAGATACTTGGAAGACACATTTTTACATCTAGGCCATTTCAATATTTTAATATTTTCTAGACCTTTCAAGATTTGGTGGCTCATCACTGAAAACTTGGAAAATACTTTTTTACAAACTACATCACAAAACCAGCTATGCATAAGGATTTTTATTAAGGCTGCTAAGAGGATAATATTCAGAAGCCTTTATCATTTGCTTTCTGAGATATTTGTCCTCTAGCTTATGAATCGCCAAAATGAAGTTCCTCTTAAGAAGAGCATGTGTGTTGAACATTGTAGATTAAAATGATTTGATGACATAAAGTGGGGTCTGTTTTGGTGAGGCATGGCTCTCTGGGTAGCCAGAATTCAACCAAGAGTATCTGCTGTGTGCAGAAAATCCCTGTCCAGCCTGGCCACTGTCACAGGTGTGCTACGAGACACACCGAGCCTAGATAGTTAAGTAGCTTTCTGAGCACTAATTCTGTAATCCTCATTGATTAATTGTTTTCCCTTAAAGTGGTGACAAATCCTAATTGTATTTTCAGGCATTGAGATAGTTGAGTATTTTATACAGGGATATAAACCAAACTGGGGATTTGCTCGTGACCCATATCTGTGGACACTGTAGTCTCCTCTTGCTTGGCTGCCCTCCAGCTAAAACCTGTTGAAGCCCCATTAACTACACTTCAAACACTCCTCTGCAGATTGTCCATGATAACAACCATAACTTGCCTTCCTGTTAGAAGGGTAACTTGCTCTTTCAGTCTGCTACCTAGTGATGGCTTGAAGAAGTGCATTTCTGCCTGGCCTTGGACCTCTCTAGAAGATGCTTCCTCTAGAGGAGAAATAAAGCTTTTGACTTTAAAGTACACAGTAAAAATTATTCCCCTTGACCTCTGAAAAAAAGAGCTGCAGTCTATGCATCTGCTCATCCCTTAAGCCACAAAAGTTAGAAACTCTCTTCTTCTTAGGAGTTTCCTCCCCAAAACTGCCTGATGATTTGCAGGTCAAGACTGCAGTGAAGGAAGTGTGGATTTGGGGATTTCTTGTTTTCTTTCATTTTTAGGATAAGGACTAGCACTAGTGGGGAGTTATCTTTTTTTTTTTGCTTACTTGATGTGGATCAGTTTCTGAGAACAGTGAATTGTCTTAAAAAAACCCCTGCAGTTATTTTTTTGATATCTTGTATTTATATGGTCATGTGAAAAAAAAAAATCCCTCCAGTTTTCAAGAAATACAGTATTTTTAGCATCTTAACAAAATTCAGTTTTAAGTTCTTGCTTTCAAAACTGCATCAATTAGTCTATTTTTGTTAGGCTTAGCATATTATGTCCATACTCTTCAACATGAAATAAATTAAGGCACTTTTACTTGCTTGAATTCAGCAGAAAAACACACGTGTAGCGTTCAGTACTTTTATCTGCTTATCTTGACAGTTAAGTAAGCATTGTTTTACTTTCTTCTGTTGTCTAAAAAAGCTTTTCTCTTCTATTTCTCACATTAATAAGCTTAATTCCTCCATCTTTTAAAAACAGACATTAGCCTATGGAGATATGAACCACGAGTGGATTGGCAACGAGTGGCTCCCCAGCCTGGGGCTGCCCCAGTACCGCAGCTACTTCATGGAGTGTCTTGTCGATGCTCGAATGCTGGATCATTTAACTAAAAAAGACCTACGTGGGCAACTTAAAATGGTGGACAGCTTCCACAGGTAAACAGATTTAAGTTGGAGACATGATTGACTGTAAATGTTTCAGTTCTCTCCGAATGTGGGGTTTTTTTCTAAATATTTTTTTCTTCTCCAAACAGAAACAGTTTCCAGTGTGGAATTATGTGCCTACGGAGACTGAATTACGATCGAAAAGAACTGGAAAGAAAAAGAGAAGAAAGCCAGAATGAAATTAAGGGTTGGTGCCTTGTCTTGACCTCAGTCTGCTTCTAATGTGTTTTCATCGATCCACCTCAAAAAATTATTTCTTAAGGAAAAAAATAACAAGGCCTAGTGGTAGAACTTTAATTGGGCAACTTCTTTTCCTCCGCAGATGTCCTTGTCTGGAGCAATGAAAGAATGATCCATTGGGTGGTGTCCATTGGTCTTAAAGAATACGCAAATAACCTTATAGAGAGTGGAGTTCATGGAGCACTTGTGGCCTTAGATGAATCATTTGATTATAATGCATTAGCTCTCTTACTACAGATACCCACTCAAAACACACAGGTAAGCAAGAAAGAGCTACTTTATTGCTGATAGGATTTTTCTCCCTTCTAGGAATGTTAAAAATGGAGCTGATTGATTGGGGTTTTTTTTTGGTTTTAGCTTAACTCGGTGTATGTTTTTCTGTCCCCAGCTCTAGACAGTTTAGAAATGGAAACACATCCATTATCCTGTAAGAGAAAAACATAGAGCCATGCTTCTCTTTCTATTTTTCTAATTGTTAATAACAACTCTGGTTGATAAATTTTTTTGAACAAAAAATATTTTCCTTATAGTGTGTCTTCACAGTATGAGTGTAGAGCTCATACTTTTTGTTGGTTGTTAGGTTTTGTTCTGAAATAATTAAGTTTGAGCCAGAAATAATGAACCTTTGTAGCAAAATGAAGGGAAAGGGGAGCTGTTAAGTCATCTTTAAATTTTTAATAAGTTATAACTTCAATGAAAACTTTTTAGAATACTCATTTATTAATCTGACAAGGTGTTAAGCAATTTGGGTTATATTAAGGTTTAAAAATTACTACAGGTTACTAATTACTAACCTTTTGGACTTATTTTCCATTTCATTCAAACTTTAGGCTCGTGCTGTTCTGGAGAGGGAATTTAATAACCTTCTGGCCATGGGCACTGATAGAAGACTTGATGAAGTAAGTTGCTTGAGCTGTTGAACTATTTTATGGTAGTGGGAATCATCAGAACTGTTAAAGAAAGAATTTAGCTCGAATCTCTTTATTGACAGAATAGTGACAGCAGTCTTAACTTGACATTTTCTGTCTTCAAGAGTTTCTGAGTATGGCAGGCTTTGTGTATTTAGGTAAGATACCTTTGAATTTGAAAGTGTTCAGATGATTTGCAAGTTTTTTTTGCAGCCCTGACAGTTCTGTTCTCAGCATGTGTGTTTTGATAACATCATCAGAAAGCAGCTTGTTAGTTTTTTAAGGTATTTATCCATAGTGATTTCAGACATCAAGAGAAGGAGGTCTGAGGGAAGAGATGTTTGTTCTGTTCTAGCAGCACAGGGCACTTTGATCACAAAGATCTCTTCAAATAATGTAGATATTTGTCTCCTAGTTCTAAAAGGGCATCAATACTAGGCAAAACAGCATTCAAAGGATTGAACTGTTTCTGAAGGAGAGTTTGGGAAATGAAGATGCCCAGAGAGTATATTTGCATTGACACAATACCTTCACCACAAAAGACATTTTTGGAAGTGGAACCTAAACTGTTGTGTGTCCCTGCTCACTGCAGGCAGGTTGGACTAGATGACCTTTGAAGGTCCCTTCCAACCCAAACCATTCTCTGATTTTGTGATTGAGAAAGTGCAGTATTACATTTCTGAAGTGGAATGTTACTTCAAAGATGCAGATGTATTTATGGGGGGAAAATGCACTTGGGCAATTACAAGTTTAAGCTTCCCAAATACTTAAGCAAAACACTGCATGACAATTATAGTTATTTACTTCACTTTTTTTTTCTCCTCACTGTAACGTCCTGTAATTTGTAGCATGAGAAAGCACAATAGCTGTATCATCATTCCTGTAAGACACCACTGAAGGTTAAAAGCAATTGTTCCAATTCAGCCTCTGTCAGTGTTCCCAAAGCAGCTTTTCTGATCTCTTGACTCCTCACATCCCCTAAGAATGAGTGATGTGACACTTAGAAATGGCTGTAAATCATGGAGTACAAACATTTGAAGTACAAACTGGTTTGTTTTTTTTTTTTTAAATGTGGGGAGCACGTGGATTTCCACAGTTACTGAACTGAAGAGATGCTAGCAAGCTCTAGCAAATGAACCCAGCCTGTGGCAAAGGCCTCTGCTGCTGCTGCACCTGAACCATTCTGAAAATTGAGTCGTTCAGTGGTGACAGATTTGCTTAAGATTGTCAGTAATCCTTTTAATGTCAGTAACAAGCCTACATTTTTTTTGAATTGCTAATGATGTTTACCAATATAACAGGATGATGATAAGAGCTTTAGGAGAGCACCTTCATGGAGAAAGAAGTTTAGACCAAAGGACATAAGAGGTTTAGCTGCTGGATCAGCAGAGACTCTTCCTGCAAATTTCAGAGTGACAACCTCAATGTCTTCACCCTCTATGCAGCCAAAGAAGATGCAGATTGATGGTATTGATTTTGTATTATTTTAAGCATGATGCACTTTTTTGCTTGAGATTACAGGGGAATTAAGTTCAAATTACTTTTTTGCTGCATAAAAGCATCTGCCTTGTGCATGGTTGTGTATATATAACACTGTGTTTAACCATAGGGTGCTTTATAATATAAGGAAGCTGTATTAGATACAGACTTCTTTTACTTCATTGAAATAACAAAATGGGAATTGTAGCTAGAAGTAAATTTATATTAAACTAGAAGAATAAACTTCATTTTAGTAGAAGTCTTTTAATCACATGATCCATAATTTCTAATGAGCTGCAGTTAGAGTAATGCAAGTCCCATTTCTGCAATGTGCTAACATGCATTCAAAAATGAGGCAAGTAAACTCCCTCAGATAATTTTGAGATTATTAAAAGTAAAGTAAGAGGTGAGTTCCTTCCCCTGCAGCAATCATTTAAGTATTGTCCATACTTGAAATCACCATTTCAGTCATTGCTGTGTACTTCACACTCTATATCTATGTGTGCACGTGGATACACACACAAATGCATATTAAAAAAAAAAAAAACAACAACAACAACAAAAAAAAAACCCATCTGGATGTGGAAGCTGATCACCTGTCACCTGACATATCTTGTCTGCTTAAAAATATTCTCTTTAGTAGTATGAAAATAAACTTTTACTTGAATTTGTTTTACGAAACACAAGGGAAGGAAATAAATGAAAAATGTATTTCATTGGAACAGACAGGATGAGAACTTCAGTGTAACCTATCAGTCATCTTAGGTCTGAAAACTGGATTTCTGAGTAAAGCTCAAAGAAGCAAACTTTGTATCTGATGTTCTTTTTGTTGTAAAATACATTCTGCTTTTCTAACTTGTAACCTTAGGGTTGGGTGAGTACTGTAGCTGTAATCACATTGCTGTGATGTCTGTCTGGTGGTTTTTAAAACTAACATGCATGCTGTGTTCTGCATGTGTTCCCATGCTTGAAATAGGCAGTGTATCAGGAACACAAAGATTGGATTCTGCTACAGTAAGGACCTACTCCTGTTAAAGCCTTCTCCTGGTGAGTAAAGTTGATAGGTATCACAGTAAAGCAGCTATTTATGAAATAAAACATCAGGTGTTTTAATACAGTGAATTTACACACTTACAAAACTGTTTCAAGGTTCCAGGGTAGATTGTTGAAAATCTGGAGATTATTTTCTGCAAGGAAGACTGTTTGAATATTTACTTTTATAAAGATGATGTCCTTCTGAGTTTGTATTTTTTAAACAGCATCAGAAAGGACATGTGCTAAACAGCCATGTAAAAAGTGTGACATCAAAGGCTGGATGAAACAGCTAGTGAAAGTGGGAAGGAGGGAGAGGAACTGAATTAGGCTTATAAAGGAAAGAAAATAATTTAGTGTGACTCTGCAGTGCAGATTACTCATCTTTCAGAGTCTTTGCTTGGTCGAAATTATCCCCTTACAGGATGCTCCAATATTGAACTGGTATGGGGATGATTGCATAGTTCCCTCATTCTGGGGTACTTGATGTTACTGGGATTGATTGGTCTGGCTGTCTGGTTGGACTGTTTTGGGTAGCTGTGAGCAGTGCTGACAATAAAAGGCAGCTTGATAACAAAAGGGTGTATAACAAAATACTTACATTCTGGTATATGACAATCTGTAGTCCTGTCTTGCTCCAGGATTTGGAATGATTGCTCTTCAGCAGCCTCTGCTAGAATTTCTCAGGGAACAGTGATTCTCTTGTTTTGCAAACAAGTCTGGAAACAAATTTTTTTTTAAATTATGTTGGATTTAAAGAAAAGACAAACCAACAAACCAAACCAAACCAACCACTGAGTCTTTTTCTCACAAGCTGATATCTTCCATGGGCCATGAATTGTCTCTTCTGCTTACAGCTTCTTTCCTTTCTTCTCTTCTCACGAGTAACATCCCTACCAGTTCTTGTATTGGCTGCCTTCTGTACAGATTCAGAACCTTTCTGTATATGCAGGTTTAGTTCTAAAGAATCCTCACGAATGAGATGTTGAGAAGGGGAACTCCTGCACACAGCAGCTCAGATCATGTGGATCTGTCAGTTCATCTGTCAGTCAGTTCTGGAGAAAAAGGAGGCTCAGGGAAAACCTTCTGGCTTTCAACAAGTCCCTGAAAGGAGGTTGTAGTTAGGTGGGGGTTGGTCTCTTCTCCCAAGGAACAAGTGATAGGACAAAAGAAAACAGCCTCAAGTTGTGCCAGGGGAGGTTTAGGTTGGACACAAGGAACAGTTTCTTCCCTGGGAGGCTGCCCAGGGCAGTGGTGGAGTCCCCACCCCTGGAGGGGTTTCCAGGCCATGGAGATGTGGTGTGAGGGACACAGGGAAGTGGGGACCTGGCAGTGATGGGGGAACAGCTGGACTCTGATCTTAAAGATTTCTTCCAACCAAGACAATTGTATGATTCTATAATCTCAGGGGCTATTTTAATTTTTTTTTTTTTCCTAAGACATTGAAGTTTTCCCCCAAATTCTCCCCAGTCTTTCAAGCTTTTCTGTAGTCAGATGACCTAGGATCAAAAACTAGGTAGCAGAAATATTTGACCTCATGTGCTTTACTTGACATTCCACCTAAAGATTACAGAAGGCAGTAAAATTGTCCACATCATGGCATGGCAACAATTCAGTGCATGACTGCTACACACATGAGCTCTTTGTGAGACACTGAGAATGAAACGTTTTCTGAAAGACTGCTAATAATTTATTTTTTCCTTTTTGTGTGTTTTCTGTCTGTTGTTTTTGCAGTTTACCCACACTACTTCTACCGGTGATATGCAGCATTTTGAACATTTGGAACCCTTAACCTGTTAATACTTGTTAAATGGACACTTTGAGATATTTTATTACAGAGTTTTTAATTAGCAAATAAATTCATGAGTACTATAGAGAAAATATTTTAGAATCTAAATGTTTCTTATATTTATGTGACTTCTCATTTATATAGTTACTTACTTTTTCTGTTTTTATTCAGTCTACAAATCAAATCATTGCTGATTTTTTTTATTCTAATTTTAGTCTTTCCAACTGAATGTACTGTAATGCTTGTATCTATATGTCCCTATAAGTAATATAGGGGTTTTGTAAATTATGCAGTTACTGTAATTATCATTGTTTTTAATAATGAAACCGAAGGTGAAAAGGATTTTAATACCTTTGTATAAGTATCATGACACCAAGCAGTATATATTTTGTCTTTTGGAAATGTTAGCTTAGATCTGGAAACAAGTCCAGCTTTTTTTCAGGTAGGTGTATGTTGTTGTAGAAGGTATGGTACACGATTGTTCTTCTTCTCAGAACTGTACCTTTCCACAAAGAGGATTTGTCAAGTAGTGGAAATTTGTCTTTATTTAAAATAGAACTTGTTTGAAAAGCTGGGAGGAACCATAACACTACGGAACACATCTTAGGAGTGATTGACTCAGTCATACACTCTGCTGTATTTGTATAGCGTGTCTTCACAGTGACTGAAAACAAGCCATAAACCAAGAACTGGTTCTGTTTGGGTTTTGTGGGGTTTATTTTTATTTGTTTTCCTTTACTGAGGAAGATAGACTTCATAATAATTCCTGGTCGCAATCCACAGGCCACAGGTTTTTTTTTGTCCTAGATCTTTTTGATTGATGAAAGATGCTGGTGAAACTATTTTTAATGGACCAATTGTGAAGCACTGCAGTCTCACGTCAAAGGAGTAGTGAAAGATGAAGGTACAATGGCCTGAAAACTAAAGCAGTGCAGCTTCTAATAAAGGCCTTACTTTTTCTTATCTAAGTCATCTTTTGTGTTTTGTAAACTTCTTCTGAAGACTTGTCTGGACTTTTAATTTTAATGGTTGTAGCCATTTTGGACTGTATGAGTAGAAAAATGTATCCAACACTTGTAAATGGCATATTAAAAAGCCAGCAAGAATCTGTTCAGATGGTGCATTATTTATTATGCAACAATATATATAGCATGTCTTTTTTTCTTATTTTGTTTTCCACTTCTAACTCGCTTGTAAAACTGAAATCCATTGTTACTGTTCTGTTTTTTCTATTAATCCTTTGTGTATTTTCAGATTATGTAACAATATGTACAGTCTCCTTTGGAACTATTTTTATCACAGTATTATTTATTGCTTTCTTTCAATAAAGTACTGATGCATTTTTCCACTGCCAATAAAAACACTATTGAAAAGCTCAGTTCTAACTGTATGCAGGCAGATGCTTTTGTGGTGAGTGGATGTTGTCAATAAAGCATCTTAATGATAGTTTGCTGCCCTGTAGGTCTTGTTTCAAACAATGACTTTTCTCCAGTAGGAAAGTGTTCCATTTAGATGTGACTTTTGCTTTGGAATTGTTCGAGTTCACGTGCGTTCATCGGTTTCTGAAAACCAGTTTTCTAAGGAAAGCTGCTTTGTTGCCTACTTGTAGTTAGGGCTGTGATTTACTTTTAAAACTAGTCAAAACTATCACAGAACTTCATTGTATTCTGGTCCACGGGATGGAGGTTGACGTGCTGTTCTATATAGCAGCAAGAGTTGCTTTGTTAATAAAATGATGATCGGCGTGATATCTGGGGAGAAACAGAGGGAATTGGGGAACCAGTACAAAATTGGGCTTTTTGTGTTAATTTTAATATATCTGTAAAGCGTTTCCTGTGCAGAAGGGAAGACAGAAGGATAAAGTGCAGGATCATTGAAGCACTAGTGACGTGGAGCCTGTTTCCTCATGTCCTCTAGATCAACAGCAGGATGTGGATCGCGTGGAACGGAGAAATCCTGTGACTGACACTTTAAACATTGCTCAGTAACACATCTCTGTCTGGCTTGTCTGTATGAGTTGCTGTCTCATCACTTGCAGTCTCTTTTATATATTCAGAGAATCTATCTTTCTAGAAAAAGCTAAAATGAAACTGCAGAAGGAGATCCCGACTCACTGTTCAGCTGAACTGTTTAGAAAAAAACCTGCATAGACATTTCTGGTCACTGGGGTGTTCAAAGTCATGTATTGTTGCTTCTCAAAAGTGGAAACAACTTGGAATAGACTTGTAAAATGTGAAAAGAAAATACGTTTATTTCAAGGCTGTAAAACCTTAACTGTTCTGGAACAATGGAATTGACCTGAGAGCTAGAATAAATGAGTGAAATAGAAAAAGCTTTCACCAGTGGGCAAACCTGTGTGTTGACTTCCTTGTGCACTGTACAGCACAGCTCTCTTGGAGAAATGCAGGAAAACGCTTCTCTTGATTTTAACAAGCCCTCCCTGGAAAGAAAAACATGCAAGTGCCTGTGTCAAAGTCACACAGATATGTTAATCTTTAAATAAAGCTTGGTTAAATAGAAGGTTTTGTAAATCGCCCAATGTCTTTAAAGGCTTTAATTGGAAAGAGCGCCATAAAAATTAACAAACGAGTTTTAAGACATGAGAATTCTTTTTCTCTGCAGTGAGGGAGTGGTAAAATTATCTTAGAGAACTTTATAAACTTCCCATTTTTGGATGTTTAGAAGGCAAGGAACCTCAAATCACATTATAACTTCTTACTCCCTCTTTCTCCTTACAAACTGCTGTAGATGAAAAGTTGCTTTTTGCAGTGTCTTGTGGGCAGGAGTGATTTGTTGTGCCAAAACTCACAGCAGAGAACACGTGAAGTCGTTAAAGGAGAATTACTGCTTGGAGTTGAGTAGACTAAAGATTGGGAGGGAAGGGTGGCAAAATTAATTTTGGGGTAAATTAACACAGTATTATGTTTGAGGGGTAGTATTTTTGTTGAAACTGAAGATTTACTTTGCCTGTAAGACCAAAGATTTTTTTTTTCCCTCTTGATAATTTCATTTTCAGGGTTGTAGCTTTGGTGCACTGCTTATACTCAAGTTATTCCACATTTTACTCTTTATATTTTGTTTTCAATTTTTTAATTTTTAATTTCATTGTTTGTTGATAATTTTTGAAAAAAAAAAAAGATAAAGGCAACTGTAGTCTAATAGAGCAGCAGCACCTTGTGGTTAAATATGGCATATGGGAATGGATGGATAAAGGGTGACCTATAAATGGGGCTGGTCCCACCTCTAAACAGAGGAACTGGGTAAGATTCCAGAAGGAGCACAGCAACAGAACCAGAAGTAATGCCAAGAAGATCAAGGTTCTCTGAGCTGGCTTTCTCCTCGAGCAGATGTCTTTCTAAGAGTAAGTTTAGCCTAATTTTTATAATCCACTGTATCCATCTTGTATGGTAAATTACCTTATGTTTAATACAGATTAAAAAAAATAAGTCTATTTATACTTTGAGCTACACTCCATTTGGTGGTAGCCATCCTACTAAGGCTGTAATAAGTCACGTTCCCCCAAAACCCATGAAAATTCATCTGTGTTATTTTTATCTTACTCTTCATTACTGCTTAACTTTCTATATTTATCTGTTAACATTTTTCCTTAGAGTGTTTGCCCTCCTCCAAAATACAGAAACTCAAAATTAAGTTTTAAAGCTGCATTTTAAATCTGGTTATTTTCCTTTCGGTATTTTTTAATTTAGATACCCTGTAAGCAGCCAACTGTACACTGCTAAAGAGATGGAAACCCTCAAGATCGATGTAATTCCCAAAGCGCGACGGTGTAAAAGTGAGTATAAAAATCTAAAAACGAAAAAAAAAAGGAGGATGTTCCAAACGGTGCCCTCACGGGCTACCTCATTCTTCCTAGAGATTTTAAGACACAG